GAGACAGAGAACTGACTCTGGTGATTGTGCTGTGACTCATAACTTGTTTGGACTCTGGAGGTCTCCGATTGGTTCTAACACGTAGTACTATCCTGGATGTCACCGGTTCTGCTGAACCCCTCCCCATACCATGTGTTTGTCCCCCCACCCCTCCCCTCCTTAACTGTCTTGCATGTATGCAGAGTGTTTTTTAGCGTATGTTTGTGTGTTTCTATGTAAAACATAGGATCAAAGCTCTTTTTTAACTCACCCTTCCTATTGCATGTATTCTAAGCTGCAAAAGATAGCGCACCTCAGTGCGAATGACCATGGACATTCATTCTCCCATGTTTGTTTTCACTAGCAAGGACCATACCATGGTAAGAGTTTAAAAATTTTATTGAAGGAAAGGGGCCGAAGGGTAGTGGGGATGAAGGAAGGGGTCGAAGGGTAATGGGATGAATGATGAGGCGTCTGGGGAGGTACGTCGAAGGAGGCTTGAGGAGAAGACTCAGAGTGGGGCATAGTCTCCAGGAAGGATGCTTTCCTGAGCCTGCTTTGGACCCCCCAGCTGGAACCTGAAAAGGAATGGATTAGGAGGTAGTTTGAGGTAGGGATGGAGGAGAAAGAAAGAAGCAGAGATGGAGGGATAAAGGGATGAGGAAGGGATGAAGGRATGAGGGAGGGATGAAGGGATGAGGGAGGGATGAAGGGACGAGGGAGGGATGAAGGGACGAAGGGATGAGGGAAGGGTGAAGGATGAGGAAGGGATGAGGGGAGCGAAGAAGGTGACGCAATGAGGCCTTACAGAGGGGCTTAAGTGGGGTGAAAGGGGAGGGTGGGCGTCAAGACAGCGAGCTAAGGGCAGACGCCAGGTGAGGCGAATTTAAATAGACGACGACTGATTGCTGCAGGTGAGAGGCGTGGTCCTGCTCCCGAACCTAAGTTAATGTCTTAACTTCATTAGGGTTGAAATGAAGCATCTTAAGAAATGATCTGTCTGTAAGATGTTCCACACAGAAGAGGCGGCAAAGCTGAATGCTCTTTTCCCCAGTTCGGGTCTGACACGAAGAACCAACAGGAGGATAACACTTGCTCTAGTGGCTGTTAGTTCTTTGTAGTAAGGTGCTTAAATAAAAGGAAACTAAGTCCAAAAAGACCTTGTAGATTAGAGTTATCCAGTGTGTGTTTCTGTGTGCAGTAAGAGAAGACCAACCAGACTTACACATTTACCACATCAGGTGTAGGAGCTCGTCTACAGCTTATTACTTTTGGGGTAAATTTATTTCAAGTTGGCTTGAAAACACAAAAATGACTATAACTCTGTCAAACTTACAGATTACCTTATATTTGGTGTGGTGGTAGCTGTGACTGATTGCAAACACATATTCTGAGTGCTAACAGGCTGACCTTTCAATTTTTTGCCACTTTATCTTATTGGATTCAACTCTGTGTCATAATATTTCATGAACGGCTGGATGGATTTTAATTAAACTTTCAGAAAAACAAAAAAACTTTTGCTAAATCTCTACAAGCGAATAACATTTTAGGGCCAACCCATCAATATCAGCTAAAACTTTGTGGAAGCTGAGTCACTCTGAGCGTGCCATCCTGCAATTCAAGATTTGACCAAAACAGCAAACATAAAATGATCTTGGTCTAAAACTTTTGCATTAAAGGTGGCAGTTGATACGTATTCCTTCAAGGAATGACTTTTTGTAAATACCATTACAAAGTTCTCAGTAATACAGCTGAAACAAATGGGTGAAACAGTGAACTCTGGTCTTAATGACAGTTTAGACATGCACTCTCACCCAGCCACAGTCCTGCCAGTCCACACAGGTAACCCCAGGGCATCGAAGACAGCGAGCCCAGGTGCTCCACCTTGGTGAAGTAGAGGATGAGGGGCACACAGGAGATGAAGATAAGGTTGAAGAAGCCCATCGTGGAAAGGAAATGAGCTACTTCTCCCAGGTTGGCGCTGCCGAGGAACATTTTAAACATCACCTAGCAGGCGACAAAATAACAAGGAACTCTTAGCAAACTTTCCTTCTCAGTGAAGACCGTTGTGAGTTTTCAGCCAGGTGTTTCCTCGGCGGTCTGACCTTGTAGAGCGCTGAGGTGGAGGCGGAGCCCACAGCCAGCGCCACACCCACAAAAGAATCCCCATGGAAACCATCAGCATAAGCCATCATGACAATACCCGTGATGGCCAATATGGCTGCAACAATCTGTTGGAAGAGATTCAGAGCAAATCAGTGCCAAACACACACACGTGTGTATTTATTCACTGTGAAAATATATCTCCTACAAACCCGAACACCCATGAAGCGATCTTTGAGGACGATCCAGGACAGGAGAAAGACGAAGGCCTTGTGGCAGCAGTAGAGAGCAGAGACGTCAGTGGCGGTCAGTTTCTTCAAAGCTAAGAGATACAGGTAGTTGGTCAGAGTCCACAGGATTGAGAAGGGGGCCGTCCTTTTAACGAAAAGCTTGATAGTCATCCCTTCTTCTCCAAAGAGTTTGCTGCACTCCCTGTTAGGCAGAAACTTACAGTAATATGGTTTCAGCGATGTGTTCCTGCTTTGAATTGAAAACGTTTTAGATTTACCTGAATTTCTGTATGGGCGTTTGCTTCTCCCGTGTGGTAAAAACATGTACCGAGTAGTAGATGGGGAAGAAGAGGATGTTCCAGTTACTGCTGAACCAGGAGATGAAGAAGGGACAGGAAAACGACTGGAAGGTCAGCTTCACCACCTGAGTGGTGCCCACCCAGGAGGAGGAAATGCACAGCACCATCAGAAGACCACCCAGCACCTTCAAAGCCGTGCCGGCACAAGTCTGTAAGGACTGACTTTCGCTGCTGGTCTCGCTGCCYGGTGTCTCTGCACGAGAATCTGAACCATCCTCTCCTGCGGAGGCAAAAGAATACGACAGATAAATCAACAAAAACACTGTTTGCTTGTATTGAGTTTTTCCGTCGCCAAACTGTTAGRCAATTATTATTATTTGCACTATTTTATCTATCACATTCATTGCTGTCAATTTGAGATTTGCATGTTGTGACCCACTAGGGAATTTAATTGATTAAGTAAAAAAATAGTTCCTCCTCATGATGCAGCATGTCCACTTGCTGTTGTGTGCACAGAGACTGGATGCCCACAAAGCAAGTGTAAATCTAACCACCCGCCATTCCACAAGAAAGTCCCACCAACATTGCTACTCAGTGATAGACTGGTAAACAGATGGAGGCGTCACTTTAATCTTACATCAGAGATGCAGATTTGGCCTTCAGCCCATATAGATCGAAGGAGTGAGCAGTTTCCGGCCAAAGTGCTGCATTTATAAGTATTTCCGGAGAGAGTTTAGATTTTTTTTTTTTTGTAAACCACTGATCAATTTACACCAGAGCAGGAATAAAAAATGACATATGCTTCCTGCTTGCTGCTGCTTTGCAAGCTCAGCTCGTGACGCTCTGCTGTTTCCACTACTGCACTCTGCTACTCTGCTTACACTCTGCTTCCTCTCATCATGATTCTTTTTTAGATTTAGGTTTATTTTGGTAAATTTACACTGCAAAAAAAACTACAAATCAATACCAAAACGGAGTAGGCTGAAGCCGAGGCTTACTTGCCTAACTTATTCAATGACTCTCAGTATACTGTACCTATACGTACACACACACACACACACACACACCTTATATGTGTATACATGTACATATGCACATACATATACAGCGGGTAAAAAAAGTATTGAACACGTCACTATTTTTCTCAGTAAATATATTACTAGAGGTGCTAATGACATGAAATTTTCACCAGATGTCGGTAACAACCCAAGTGATCCATACATACAAAGAAATCAAACCACAAATGTCCAGAAATGAAGTCAGGGATGTGCACAGATGGACGTCAGGTGGTGCTTGAGCACCTGCCCTTTCCCTCCAGACCATCTGCCCCTGTC